CTACAGAGAAAATTCACTGAAAAATCTAATATCTCGGTTCAGGTACGCCAGAAGCAGCTCATATTTTAAATTTGTTAGTTTCTCGGTGAGAGTGATCATTTGACCTGGCCATGGTCAACCATTTTGCTTATCAGTACAAATCCTTCTATTGTTAGTCCCAAAATGTAAACTTAATCTCAAGCCAACAAACCCAAATCCAGTTGAATATAAATCTCGTCCACGATCAGTTGCCATGGGCGATTTCAACAATGATACTTGGCTAGATATTGCTGTTGCTAATCATGCTGCTGACAATATAGCCATATATTTTGGATATGACAATGGCACTGTGGCAAGTCCAGTCACGTTTTCAACTGGTTCTGGCTCTGCTCCGTACATGATTGCTGTTGGTGATTTTGACAAAGATCATCGACTGGATGTTGCTGTCGCAAATTTCGGCACAAATAGCGTCGGTGTACTTCTTGGATTTCAAAATGAGACTTTTGTGAACCAAACAGCTTTATCAACTGAATCATCTCGTCCAGTTTGGGTCCATGTAGCAGATCTAAACAATGACGCAGCATTAGATATTGTCACTGCTAACTATGGGACACATAGTATAAGCATATTTTATGGATATGGGAATGCAAGCTTTGCAAACTCAAGCACATATTCTACAGGCTATGATTCTTTCCCGTTAGCGGTTGTTAGTGGCGATTTCAACAACGACAAACAGATGGATCTTGCTATCACCAATTATGGTACCAATAATGTCGGTATACTTCTTGGAACTAGTAACGGCACTTTCATAAAGCAAAGCACGTTCTCAACTGGTCCAAATTCTCATCCATACTCGCTTGCTGTTGGTCATTTAAATGACGACCTCATGCTAGATATTGCCGTCACGAACTATGGAAATAACAGTGTAGGTATTTTTCTGGGTCATGGCAACGGAACTTTTATGAGCCAAATGACATATTCTCTCAACGCTGCTTCTCCATATTCTATTGGCATTGGTGACTTCAACAACGACAATCGAATGGATTTAGTCGTCACCAATAATGGCACAGACAATATAGCTCTGCTTGTCGGATATGGCAACGGTACTTTTACAAGTCCAAAAATGTATTCAACTGGATCTTCTTCATCAATTTCCATTGCCATAGGCGATCTCAATAGAGACGATCGTGCAGACATCGTCATCGTCAGCAATGACACGAACAGCATCGGTATTCTGCTTGGTTATGACGAGGTTTCTTTCGAAAACCAAAAGACATATTCAACCGGCTCTTCACCAACAACTTTAGTTGTGGGTGATTTTAACAACGACACCCGATTGGATATGATCGTCGTTAATGACTATGACAACACTGTAAGTGTACTTCTGGGATATGGAAACGGCTCTTTTGAAAATCAAACGACATATTCAACTGGCACTGATCCAACCTCCATAGCTGTTGGTGATTTTAATAACGACACTCAGTTGGATATTGTCGTCACCAATGAGAATAGCAACACTATAAGTGTACTTCTCGGATATGGTAACGGGTCTTTTGCAGAGAAAGCCACACATTTAACTGATTCTTATCCATTTTCTGTAGCTGTAGGTGACTTTAACAACGACAACCGATTGGATATTGTCGTTATCTCCCGTTCCGGTGACCAGAATTTATGTGTACATCTCGGATATGGTAATGGCTCTTTTCTAAGTCAAATACCATCTTTAACCAAGTATCACCCAACATCTGTAGCTGTTGGGGATTTCAATAATGACACCCGACTGGATATTGTCGTCGCTGATCCTGATTACAACACTGTAAGTGTACTTCTCGGATATGGCAATGGCTCCTTTGTCAATGAAACGACATATATATCTGGCACTGCGCCATTTTCAGTAGCAGTTGATGACTTTAATAAAGACATGCGACTAGATATTGTTGTCGCTAATAGATTTGGTGGCACCGTGAGTTTACTCGTTGGATATGGAAATGGCTCTTTTGCAATTCCAACAGCGTATCCAACTGGTTCTGGCCCGAAAACTGTTGCTGTTGGTGATTTTAATAACGACACTCAATTGGATATCGTCGTTACAAATAGTTGGGACAACACAATAAGTATACTGTTAGGATATGGCAATAGTTCTTTTGCAAACCCAAGAATATTTTCAACTGGCTCAATGCCAATCTCTGTAGCTGTTGGTGATTTTAACAACGACACCCGATTGGATATTGTCATTACTAATGACGACAACAGTATTAGTGTTCTACTTCGTAATGACATAGGAGCAATGGCAAACGAGACCACTCTTGCATCTGGCAATGGTTCATATTTGCGAAGTGTTGCCGTTTTCGATGTCAATAACGATACCATACTGGATATTGTCGTTGCCAATTATGGTACAAATAATATAGGTGTCATTCTTGGACACGGAAATGGCTCTTTTGGAAACCAAACGATGTTCTCGACAGGCTCTAATTCTCGTCCTTACTCGATTGCCATTGGTTATTTCAATAAAGACGGTCATGTAGATATCGCAGTGGCTAACTATGGTACTAAACATGTTGAGTTATTTATGGGTGACGGAAATGGAGCGTTTGAAAGTCAAGTTAACGATGGCAATGGTCATGGCTTTACTCCATTGTTCATTGCTGCTGGCGATTTCAACAATGATGGACGTTCAGAAATTGTTGTAGCATACGTTGAGATTGATAACATAGATGTACTTAGTGCCTATGATAATCCATCATGGTCTCATCAACTGACATATTCAACTGGCCCCGTACCAACCTCCGTAGCTGTTGGTGATTTTAATAACGACACTCGACTGGATATCGCCGTCACTAATTGGGTTGATAATAGTGTGAGTGTTTTTCTAGGATATGGAAATGGCTCTTTTGCCAATCAAATGAAATATGCAACTGGCACTTATCCAAACTCTATAGCTATTGGTGATTTTAATAACGACACTCGACTGGATATCGCCGTCACTAATTGGGCTGATAATACTGTGAGTGTTTTTCTAGGATATGGAAATGGCTCTTTTGCAAATCAAACCACATATTCAACTGGCTCTTCGCTAAAGGCTATAGCTGTTGGTGATTTTAACAATGACACTCGACTGGATATCGTCGTCGCTAATGGTGGTGATAATACTGTGAGTGTACTTCTCGGATATGATAACGGCTCTTTTGCAGAGCAAACGACATATTCAACTGGCTCTGACCCAATTGCTGTAGCTGTGGGTGATTTTAACAACGACACCAGATTGGATATGACCGTCGTTAATTACTATGGCAAAACTGTAAGTGTGCTTCTCGGATATGGCAATGGTTCTTTTGCAAAACAAATGACATACTCTATTGGTTCTTTTCCCACCTCCGTAGCTGTGGGTGATTTTAATAATGATAATCGATTAGATATCGTTGTTACTAACAGTGGAAACGATACTGTAAGCTTACTTCTCGGATATGGCAATGGCTCTTTTGCAAATCAAGTGGCATATTCAACTGGTTCTAGTCCACAGTCCTTAGCTGTTACTAACATTAATAACGACGCCCACCTAGATATCGTCGTTGTTAATTCTGGAGACCACACTGTTAGTGTACTTCTCGGATATGGCAATGGGTCTTTTGTAAATCACATGATATATTTAAGTGGTTATTATCCGAACTATGTAGTTGTTGGTGATTTTAATAATGATACTCGTCTGGATATCGTCGTCACTGATAAGGAAGGCAACACTGTAAGTGTACTTTTCGGATATGTCAATCAAGTATTAGTAAAACAGACGACGCTCATCATTGGCAACGGGTCTCGACCAAGGTCATTCGCTCTTGGTGATTTTAACAATGATGGTGAAATAGATATTGCAATCATAAATTCTGGCGCTAACAAAGTAGGAATTTTTCTGGGATATGGCAATTATTCTTTCGCAAATCAAAAGGCATTTTTAACTGGCACTACTCCAATGTCTGTTGCAGTTGGAGATTTCAACAAAGATACCATACTTGATATCATCATTGCTAATCATGGTGATGACAACGTTGGTGTATTTCTTGGTTGCGGTAATGGCTCTTTTTTAAGCCAAAACACGTTTACGACTGGTGATAAATCTCAACCTAGTGCAGTTGCGGTTGGAGATTTCAACAACGACAGTTTACTAGACATTATCGTCGCCAATTATGGCACCAGCGAGTTAGGCGTGTTGCTTGGTTATGGTAATGGCTCCTTCGCAGATGCAAAGTTTTTTTCAGTCGGTTATGGATGTCTTCCGTTCTCCGTTTCTATCGGCGATTTTAACAATGACGGAAAGCTGGATGCCGCAGTTGCCAACAAAGGCACTGACAGTTTACAAATTTTCTTACAGTTGTGTTGATGTTGCAACTTCTACCTTGAACCTTTTTTCTTTCATTTACTGTGTTTACCTTCTATTTAGTGTTACTCATATTTCTTGTTCCTTTTTGTCCTATACATTTATTAATTTAGATAGTCATATAAAGGGTGTAGGTGTGTTTATAATAGAAAAATTCGAAGTATCATACGACGCGTTTTGAAGTTCTTCAATTCGTACGCCTGATTGAGATATAAAAATTCATCATGGGTGTGGATGTTTTCTATAAACTCTAAACCAAGTG